AAATAAACAAAAATGTAATAGCCACAGCATGGATCTCCTTTTACTCTGAGTTCATCAGAAGCACTGTGTTTACTACTGGGACTCACTTATTCTGAAGATGGCTTAGTATACCAAACCTGCCCTTACAAGACAGACCCTAAGGATAATGGGCATAGAAACCAGAAACTTAGTCTAAGAAAAGAGATTTGGTGGGAACATGACAGCACCAGACATTGTCGAAGTGATGAGACACAAAAAGGAATGGGAAAGGGGTAAGGGCCAATGCCAGGCTACTTGGACTCGGACTGGTCCTACCTTACCAGCTAGAAACTGAGCTGGAGCCAATTTTTATTTTTCTTTCCTTCCTTTCTTCTTTATTTAGTTATTTAGTGTTTTTCAGTGATACTGGGGGGTTGAACCCCAAGGGTGTTCTCTACCATTGAACTACTTCCCTTTTCATTTTGCCCAGTTTGGCCTCAAATTCAAGATCCTTCTGCCTCAGCCTCCCATATACCTGGGATTATATATAAAATATGTATAAAATAGTGCCCACTTCAGTAAAGTTACATGAAGTTTCAGTTTTTTAAGTTCAATTTGAGAACACATGTAGAATGCTTAGATCAGTGACTGGCACATAGTAGGCATCTAGCAAATATTAACTATAAAGCTTTAGGTATTTAATAAAAACTAACCACTTGTTTGGGGTTGCTATAGGTGTCAGAACCCAGAACCAGTGTGTGACAAAAGGAAGCCTACTTTTAGCCTAATGAAGAGAAAATAGCAAAAAAAAAAAAAGAGAGAGAGAAAATAGCACTACAATTGTCTAAAATTCTAAAGAAGAATTTATTGTCTGCCCAAGCTTGGGCTAGATCAGAAGTATTCTTTTAATATGCGACTTGGGCGGGGGGATCTTTATTGTGTGAAATAATGATGCTAGCAGATGGTAGGTAGTGGAGGTCTGTGTTTTTGTTTTATGATGTTAGGGATTGAACCTAGGCTCTTAGTACTAAATCCTCAACCCTTTGAAAATGTTTGATTTTAAGGTGGGTCTTGCTGAACCATGAAATTGCCCAGGCTGAGGTTAAAATTGTGATCCTGTCACAGCAGTCCAGGGACTACAAACAAGTGTCACTCTGTTTTTTAATGTCACTTTGTCCCCCCAAATACTGACTTTTTTTTTTTATCATTCTTACAAAATTACTTGGAGATTTAACTGCTAAATGAAATGCAAAAGTAGGACTCTTTTTAGGTTCTGCTTTTTAAAGACACTAGAATACATAAGGAGTCAGATAAGTAATTAAACCAGATACGTGTTGAAATGATTTTCTACAGTTGATCCATTAAAAATGTTTATTGAGGGCTGGGTGTATAGCTCAATGACACAGCATCTGCCTGGCAAGCACAAGGTCATGAGTTTGATTCCCAGTACAAAAAAAAATGTTTATTGTTCAAACTGTTAATAGTTTGCTTTCTTTCATTGCTGCCTTGCTATACAGTCTGCCTAGGTAATGAAATCCACCAGTAGCTTTCATTTTGTTCTTAGTTGCTAAAAATCTTTGCTATATGAGAGACTGCCTTGGAACCAGCATGAAACTAACTTTGGTCAGGCTTAGTTTGGAGTAGATGCTGTTGATAATATTAAATGGTAAAACAGGAGTAATAACTGCACCATGTCCTGAGTAAACATCTATTATTCAGAGTAGTAAACTATTTTTTCCCCTATATTTGCAGGAATCTAGATGTATAAGAATTTTAAGACCTTTTAGTATGATCGCATTATAGTAGAGGAATCTCTAGGTTATTTTCTAGATGTTTCTCTCAGGTCAGCAGAAGTTCCTTTCCACCATACTTCATGTGATTTAAATATCTTAAATTCTGATAAACACAATTTTGCTGGAAAACAGCCACACCTATTTGTTTACGTATTGTCTATGACTACTTTCTTGCTACACTTGCAGAGTTGAGAGCTAAAGAGAACAAATCACAATCAGAACCTGAAATAGTTACTTTCTTACTCTTCATAAAAATTGTTTGCTGGTCTCATCCAGGCTAGATCTGTACATAACTGCCTGCATTCAATGCAGAAATCCTTAAGTATTAATGTTTGCATCTATTTTTAGTACCCTTTTGCAAGGAGAACATTATACTAATAGATGATTGTCTTTTGTATAATTTCTTTCATTTCAGTTGTTCTCCAGAATCCTTTCCCCACCATACTTTGCTTTGCTGAGATGGCCTTGCTTTTCACCTCGTGGGGGAAACTGAGTCTAGCAGACACAAACCCCTTCAGCTTTCAGTGTTCCCACAACGCACAAATGTTCTCATTCTCATCCACTAATGCTAGCAGGAGAGGAATTCTTTCATTTCACAGCCAGAACCCACCAACCCTCCCTTTCTTCCTTCCTTCCTTCTTTCCTTTCTGAGACATGGTCTCTTTTCTTTTTGTCTTTTTGAGACAGGGTCTCATATGCAGCTCACTCAGGCTGGCCTTGAGCTTACTTTATAGCCTAAGCTGGTCTTGACCTTGCAGTTATTCTCCTGCCTCAGCCTCCTGAGTGCTGGGATTACAGCTGTGTGCCACCACACCTGG